GTGCAAGCGCAATATTCAAAAAGTGCCAGTAGCAGCATTTGCTGAAAACAAATAGATAACTGACAGCATTAACACATCGCACATGCACAAATCCCCCCAGCTGAGCAGCAACCACCATGTTTGATGTGTTGTCGGTCACTAAAGGGCCTTTCGCACTGCGGGAACCTTTTCATAGTACCAGAACTAATTGTGGAACTACCCACTTTTTGCCGTTTTCGCACCGCCGGAACTGGGTGCTTTTTCGAGAACCAAATTAGCTCCTACTCCGGAGCAGGGTCTAACCAGCACAACTGGTACTAATCGTGACGTAAGTAGACATTGATTGGCCAAACGCGTATGGAAACACCCTCACCCGCCATGATTTAAAACACAGTGTAAACATACTGTAAACATTGCGTCAACTTATTTTGCAAGTATGGAGAACAGCGATAGATGGACGGACGCTGAGGTGCAGGCACTTGTAGCAAATGTAGCACGGCCAGTTGTCGTTGGAGATTCTTAGTCCTTCTTTCCGTTCTTTTAATCGCTTTATGTATACGTCGACTTTCCATGTCCATTATTGGGAAACCCGCGAGACAACAAACACACAACTCCGATCACAGCGTCCTCCATCCTCCTGTTGTTAATGTTGTTCTTCTTTGTTTTCGTTGTTGAACGCCGCGCACAAATGATGTCACTGTGTGTCGATCGGCTTACGTACACTGTTGGTGCGAATGCAACCCTTTAAATGGTACTGGGAAATAGTTCGCGCAAAATCGTCCCAGTACTTTAGTACTGTACATTTAGTTCTGGAACTAAAGCTGTGCGAAAGGCCCTTAACACCCAAGTCTCTCGTGGGAAACTGCCATTCCTCAGCGACTTTTTGTATTAGGTCAACTATATTAGCGCCTGTGTGACTCTCGTAGACAGCCCTAGTTTGCAAAACATGGGACAACAACCGCTAGTCATCCGAGATATAATGGGCTGTTACAGTGATGTACGAATCCGTAGCAACAGATGTCCAGGCATCACAAGTCAATGCTATTTTACCTGCTTTTTTCAGCGACTCCAGTACTGTTGTTTTGGTGCTTTGGTACAGATTTGGTATTACGGTCTCTGCAAAAAAACGACGTGAGGGGATTTTATACCGTGGGTCCATTGTATGCATCATTGCACGAAACCCCCTTCCTTCCACCACGGAGTAAGGGCGCAAATCCGATGCAACGTACTCGGCAATGGATTTTGTTATTTTCCTTGCCCTTTGCGGGTTTGCAGGAAGAGTGGTTAGAGTTGTTTGGTTAGCAGCAACAACGGGTCCTTCTGCGTTCACATCTGCGTGGCAGCGTTGAAGGTGATTCCTCATGTTTGTTGTGTTGCCAAAATATTTTATTTTCACCTCACACATCCTACACATAGTGTAGCTTTTATCAAGTGTCCGTTTGCCGTCTTTCTCGGTTTCTAAAAAAACAAAATGCTTCCAAGCGTCAGCTTTTAACGTTGCAGGTGCCGCTCTAATGTGTGTAGCATCGGCCATTTTGTCACGTACTAGCGCCTTAGTGAATGCAGACACACTTCGTCTGACGTAAGAAACGCACGTAAACGTGCTAGGGCTCTGTGGCCGACAAATTCCGAAAGAATGTATTGCAAACTAGCACAAATCTGACTTTTTTCATTTAGACTTAAGACATCGATTATTTAAATCTCTGCATCGATTCAGAATCGTTTAATGCAGAACAACGATGCATCGAAAAAAACGATAATTTTTCCCACAAACTAAAGTAGATTGCAGAAATATAAAAACGAATCTGTTGCTTTACCGCACTACTTTAGGTCATTCAAAGTCACTGTAATAAACATATGGACTGCACTAAACACTGTCTGTTAGCTTTAGACCAGTGGTTCTCAAACTTTTTTGGTCGCACCCCCCTTTAAACCCTTTTTTTACCCCCCTTTTCCCGAATCCCCATTCCACCACAGACTACCAAATAATTTCATTAAACATTATGAAAAATGAATGCTTTTTTTAATGAAAAAAAACCTACGGGGACGAGTTGAGCGAGCGGAGCGCACACGCATAGAGCGGATAATACACAGAGCGCCACAACACGTGAAAGTGAATCCTGAGCGGTGAACTAATTTTCGGCAGCCGAAATTTCAGTGCATCTCTAATTATTGGCGACATCAGAAATTGATATTATATAATAGCTGCTTTTATGAACATTTTAGCAATTTAAAAATATATATTTTTTACACGGCACCCCGGTTGCGCTAAGGCATAGGACACACACAGGCTTTCCTCCTCACCAACGACATTAAACACCGTGTCTACACCGGACGCGAGCAGCAAAATACAGTAGAACCCATTATAATCAGTGACACTGTGTACACTGGATGCGGCGCGACATTAAACTAATGCCATGTTCTATTTATGACGTACTGACAAAGTTAAAATGATTTGCAATGGTTGCTTTGTCACGTCCAGTGTAGAGCTGTTGCGGCGCGACACAACAACTGTAGTGTCCGGTATAACTTAGACACAGTGAGTGAAGCCGAGAGCAAGATATGCCTCCTCACATTTTCTGCATTTAGCTTTTAAATGACCAGCACCTGCCTGCGTCTGTGCGACTTCATCTATGGCTTTTCTCTTTGCTTTCACAAACCAATCCATCTCCCATTCTAAGTTACATCCTTTGGCTGTTTACTGATTTATTTCTTTTCTTTTTCTGCTGATGGCCCGCGCTCGACTTGAAGCAGCGCTGCTTAGACCGATGGGTGTGTGTCATTAAAGTACTGCGAGAGCTATAAGAGAGCGGACGTCTCCTTATGCTTTCTCTCACCGTACTTTGATGTCATACACAGATCTGATCTTCAAGTGGAACACACCTCTTTACTCTCGCGTGTCACGTGACCGTGTAATCGCAGCCTCAGTGATTGAAAAATTGCGTATTCTCATATCGCGATATTATCGCAAATGCAATTAATTGTTCAGCCCTAGTAATTACTTTTGCAGATGCTTTGCGGCAAACTTAAGCCTATTGCATGCATTTGAACACAGAACTGTTCAGTTGCGCTGACGGCACGCACCATACTGCTGCTGCGGGACACTAAACATGTCGAGCCGCTCTTAACAGTCTCGGTAGCACGGTCTTGTGTTGTTTCCACCAGCGCGGCAATCTTTTTTCATCACTAATTGATGGATGTCTAAAATATAAAAATAAGGAGAAGCCTAAAACAGGCCCGAGGCCCGGCCCGCGTCTAAACTATGACATGAAAATTGTCCCAAAGCCCAGCCCGAAAAAAAGTCGGGGCCCATTGGGCCCGGGCTGAAATGCAGGGCTCTAGTTCTGATCTAGCACACAGAAAACGATTTGACTGAAAATTTATCAGAAGAGATGAAAGAAAAGATAGTGGTCATCGGCGCAATTCGGAAAAAGAGGCGGCTTTTCTACATTATGTATGGATTTTTTCCTTTTCTTTTTTTTACTCTTTGTACAGCAGTTATTGTTCATTCTAAATTAATTTTTTAATGTAGAATATGTGTTATAATGGTGCCCCCCCACGCATAAAAGTGAAACTCCGCCTATGATTGTGCTGTTACTCCTTTTCGAGCAGAAGTTCACAAAATTGGGTGTTATTTATGGGGAGTATAATTATTTATTTATTTCAGTGAATGTAATCGATTAGATATCATAATATTTAGGCTATAATATTATAAATCAGGTTGGTTTGTA